TATAACAGTATATTTCCCGCCAACAATACACATATTATAATGAACGCGTTCATAATTAAAGACTATTGACGTTCGCATAATGAACGCATCAATAAAATGACGGCTGTCATTCGTCCTTTTGTTGAATTGTAATCAATATTTTTAATGACGCCATAGCATTTAAAAAAGGTAAAAATAGATAAAAAACAGAATCGTTAATAATATTACCACTATCGTTTAGGTAAATAAGTTTGTGATCTGCCATTTTATGTTTTATTCATGATGATGCTAACAGAAAGATTTGTCTTTACTATAACAAATATATGGAATCCTTAGTAATTTGAATATCTCTATCAAAAAGTCATAATTCTCAAATATAGTCCACGCAAGTTTCTTAAGCAGATTTATATATTGAAATCAGGATCAAACATTTTAGTTTATGAAAGGTTTGCTATCCTAAATCAACCATTCCATGGTGAGAAAGCCGTTATGGACGTTTCTCTACTGTAAATAAAGATAATTTATATTTATATCATAGCCAATATATTTATTTAGGTCTATTGTGGATAAGGTAAGCCATTCCTAAAATATACTGATGAAATAAATAAACGTGATTCTGAAAATATATAAAACTAGCTTTCCGCTTCAGCTTCGCCTGCGTGGAGTTCGGTTATATCGCGTTTCCAAGAGAACCTTTCAAAAGTCTGGGATAAAAACTATCCTATGTTCTTTCTCAAGGTCAACTCTATGTCTGTACCAAATTTCATTAAAATCAGTTTAGTGGTTTAGGCGTGAAAGCCTAACAAACAGACAGAGTTACTTTCGCATTTATAATATTAGTAGGAATTATAAATAAATAATATTTGGAAAATCTGATCTAGATTTAGGTGTATATTAAATTTAATGCATAAATTCGTTTATGCATATGACCGGATTTCATTATTCGGCAAATCTCAAATGGTATGCATGCATGCATGGTGCACGACAGGCGCATTGCGGCGAGCATTGATTCTTGAGGTATTTTATGGTAACCATAACTTTATTGCTCCGGAACACGCAACACTGAAACGACATTACCAGCTTTTATAATGTAATTAGTTTTCAACTATACGAAACAATATAAAAGTACTATTATTGTCATTAAAAAGTGACATAAATGTCAAATTTATGGACAGAAATTGAACATCTACTGTATTTTAATAAAAATCGATGTATAAAATGCTATTGCTGTCATAAAAAAGGTACCTAAATGTCAAATTTATACACAGAAACTAAACATCTTATGTATTATGCTAAAAAAACTTAGTATCTTCACATCAAAGTATGTTTCGTATGTGAAAAATTTAAGTTAGTTAACCAAAAATCTCACTGTATATGTAGTTTACTATCAGTTGATAAACCCTAGCACACGATCAGATTGACCGTAACCAATTAATCACTATCAGACCTTCGTCAATGTCAAGCACTTGAGTAATGCATCATGGAAAATACAACACCTTACTGTATACGAGGTTCTGGCTCACGAAAGACCACACGTAGAGCTTCCCACAAGCACATTGTTAATTTTTCTATAATTATGTGGGCACTACATGTTTTTGAATAAAATCAGTTTTCGTGTTTCAATATATACTTATATAGGAGCAAAAATATCAACTTATTCTTAAGTTAGCCTTCATATAATTACTTACTCTAACTCTACAAAAAATTCGAAGACTAATAATTTGTGTTAAAAACTTTATTTCATTCATTCGTTCATTCTCATATTAGGACCAGTGCAACTTTATTACATGACATCCAAATAATTCATTAATTGATACTGATTCAATCAATCAATACTTTATCGGGTGGAGTATTCACAAGTTGCAAGATCCTTAAGCTCTGGTGTTCAACGTGGAAGCAATTTAACTGTATAGTTAGTAGTAGTAGTAGTAATCAAATAGTAGTTAGATCGGATTTATTTCAAGTTATAACTACTTATTCAATTACTATGCGATTTCTAAATACTATATCTACATGAATCGTATTTGATATTATTAGCCATCGATCTAAAATAGTTACGTATATGAGAAACTGAGATTTAATAATATCTATTTTGTAAACAAAAAGATATTTTCAAATACACTTCAAAAAGAATAAACCTAAATAAAAGAATAGGTATTAAGTAAAAGTGAGACGGAGACAAAGTCAAAGTACACAGTCATATATTAAGAGCACCTCGGTCCCAGACTCTTAATTACCGAGTTCTCCCTCAACCCCCACCGACCCACAGCGACCCACACCGACCCCCACCGACCCCCACAGACACCAACCCTCACAAAAGTCTGAACAATGAAAATAAAACGTCTGAAGTTAAAGGGGCTAGAAATTTTACGCTTAAGCTCTTTCATACTTCGTCGAGGAAGTTCAGAAACTTATAAGTTAGTGTAGGCTCGAATATACGAGGATTGGAAGTTTAAATTGAGTTTAATATAAGAAATTATCATAGCAATGAAAATAATGTTTGTTACAAATATATCAATAAGTTAAGTATTAACATTGAGTATTAAAATAAGGAAGAGTTTTCGAGCAACATTAAAAGAGTGAAGAAAAAATTGCAGAACCAATTTGTCTCAGCTATTAGTAAAGGTCTTGTCAAAGAAAAAATCTTCAAAAAGGCTTTGCTTGTGATGCCAACAGCTCGAGTTTCAGCAAAAACACTTCCACAAGCAGTCTGGCTCGATACAAACTAGCTGTTACTTGCAGCTTAGCTTCTTCGGGAAATACGATAAATCACAGCAACTTTGCCCCAAAACTAGTATGTTTTTCCTATATTAAAAGATATCAAATATATATGTTTATAAAAATGTAAAAAATTTTAACTGTCACGAAAATAATTGCACTAGTTAGTCTTATTTAAGAAAAATTTTATCTATGCATGTATAATAATAACTTTAATTTGATGTCATATATTGTTCATTTTCAATATTTCTGCAAAAAAATATTTACATAAATAAAATATATCTTCACGTCCATATATTTATATATCAAAGTTATGTATTCTAAAGCCATTTCTTTTTAAAACTACTATCATTATAATAACTCAACTCCTCTCCTTCGCGTCTTTTTAAGATGCTTAACTTAATTATAATATACATCACTAATTATGTATGTAATACGCATGTCTTAGGTTAATTAACAAGAGCGTTGAATTATGATCGAAATAATTAACATAATCAAGATTTTAATTTAAAAAAATATATTATTAATACTACACCACCTTACAAAATAATATATAGATAACTCAAACTCAAAAAAGAGGTGAAAAAAAGCACTTTTTTTAGTGTTTCCGAAGGACGTTACACAGTTTAGAAAAGTAAAAAATGTTTGGATAAGCATAATTGTTAAAGGAATTTCAATTCAATCTTTGTAAAGTAACATTAATTGTAGTGCTAAAAGCAAGTTAGCCTAAAAGGTATTTATTTAACTTGAAGTTGGACCTAGCTTATCTAAAGATTACAACTGTTATAGAAACTTTTGTTTCTTAGTGAGCACCCTGTATACATAGTGTAACCTACTTCGGTACAAGTTCAGTCTCTTTGTAACTTCAAACTTCTTACATTATATGAACGAAATTGTGTAAAGAAATAATGATAATGATTTTGATAAATAAATCTTAAATTTCACATGGCATTTATGTAGTTTTATTAATATTCTTCTTCTTCTACCTGGCAATTTCCCAGCTTTAGCCAGGGTCTGCCTTACATGTTGTGAATAGTTATGGCTAATTGTTTTTACGACCGGCCGCCTGCCTGACATCAACCCTCTTTTTTTGGGAATGCATTAATCAAATGCATTCCCAATAAATACTCTTCCCAATAACTAAATGCTCTTAGAAAGTACATATGATTCGGAAAAATCACATTGGTACTTGTCTAGGCCAGGATCAAACCCGCGTCCTCGGCAACGAGAGGCGGGCTCTTTAACCACTAGGCCACCACTGACTTAATATTAGTAGTAGTATGACGTAGTTTTATTAATATCATGATAAACTAATTACTAGACAAAAATATATGAAAACATTACTTATCTTTTCGTCACGTAAAAAGTTTTTGCTTGTATTTAGCAGGTAGACCCTCGAAGACTAATAGCGTGTTAAAATATTTATACGTTGTGTACTCAGTGATGTCAAATACATAAAAATAAACTAAAAATCCTTCACACCTTTAACAAAAGCTTGTTATATCTTTATTCATATTTATTATTATAATAATTTACAAAGATTGATAGCAATACCTTATTATTCGTTGTACAAATCTCTGAAGCAATCTCCAAAAGATAAAGTTTTGCTTATAAAATTTTTGTTTATAAATTTTTCGTTCATTTTGAATTATATTATGAAATCCTTTATATATTAATGAATTACTAAATTAAAAATGTCTTCGAGTGTAATAAGTTTCTGTAGAGTAAATATAAGTTTGATAAGTATATCCAGCCAGTTTCCTTGTAACTAAAATGTTTTGCCATCCAAGAGGAAAAACGATACGTCTACAAGCGCCCGACAAACTTTTTCAATATATTTCTCGTAATTCATTTAGTGATTATTTAGTGACTATAACCTACTAAAAGACTTGGGCCTGTCCAGAACTAACATTAATTCATTCTTAGAACGTACGTCGAAGGCAGCCCTAGTAAGTTCTTTTCAAATTTGGTTAGGTAGGGAGAGGAACTTGGACAGTGGAGGTGAGCGTATAACGCGCGTTAGTTAAGGGGCCCCTTAAACCTACACCTGGGTCGCAAGTCCCAGGCACTGTTGAAGCTCTTCTCCCTGCAACGCAATGGACCCGGCACCCGCACGGTGAATCCATTGAATGCTAAGAGGTTTCGTCTCATATAAAACGACTGCCCGGAGAGTCGGGCTGACTCTGGAAAGACAGATGACTGCCGGAAAGACGGATGACTGCTGGAAAGACAGCCGAGGGCAACGGCCTAGCAAGCCCAGCCCGGGATTTATTAAGCTAAAAGTCCTATAAAGAAAAATACCCCTGGGACAGTCCGAGAGGGGGGGGCGGAAGATCTGTCCACCGGTCGATTTAAACGGCGAAAACGGCGCGAATACGGACTTGAAATGCCCTACGTGCGGGAAAAATTACAAGAGACGAGCCTGGTACATTAAACACCTAAAAACACATAATGGTGTTGAAGCGCGACAATCGTTGGTAAGTTCTTCAATTATCACTTCGGATAGAGTTGACCCTCACGTATCCCATGGTGAACCATTAACTGGAAACCACCAGGAGTCCATTAACATCCGGACACGTCTTAGCATTCCTAACATGAAACAATCGACTTGGAAAGTTCACGAAGACAATTTAGCGGTCCTGTTAGAGCATCCGGGCTCGAAGCAGGAATTGAACTCGCAGGTAGAAACTTTCCAAAATACCGTTTATGACTACTTCAACGAGCAATATCCACCACGTAATCATTACGCTCGCAAAAATAAAGAAAATTCGTTCAAGATAAAAATGAGGAAGAAAAAACGGGAATTAATAAAAAACCTACGTATAGCCAAAGCTCTAGGCGACAACCACCTTAGTCATCAGCTAGCTAGGGCGTTAAGGTCAATCCTTAAATTAATTCAAGGAATATCGGCACAAACTGCAGAATATCGCGGTAATTTTGACCGGGCCAAACAGGAAGTAGATTTTGATAAAAACCCTTTTGAGTATTCGAAAACCATTTTTAAGAAAGAACGCGGACAGCTTCTCTTGACCAACGATCAAATTTACGACCATTTCAAGAGCACATACGAAGTGCCTAAAAGTGTAAGGCTCTATACGGATCCAAACGAACAAAAACCGGAAATTCCTCATATCGATTTTCACGGCATACCACCAACGTTAGACGAAATAAGTAGTCACATAAAGAGGAAATCATCTAAATCTGCACCGGGCCCCGATGGTATCCCATATATAGTCTTTAAAAAATGTCCATCGGTTCGTAAACACCTCATAAATATATACGGCAAAATCTGGTCAAGGAAGCAAATCCCGGAGTGTTTCGGGAAAGCAATTTTTGTCCTCATTCCCAAAAAAGATCGAGTTACCGATCCGAAGGATACTAGACCGATAGCCTTAACAAATACAATTTCTAAAATCTTTTTCTCGGTCCTACAAACGAGAATGACGCGATTCATGCTCAGCAACAAGTATTTTAGGCCAAATCACCAGAAAGGGTTTCTACCCGGGATTTCTGGATGCCTAGAACACAACACCTTGCTGTCGGAGAGTTTGAAAGATGCTAGAAAAAGCGAGCGGCAAATTACAGTTTGTTGGATAGACTTAGAGAACGCGTTCGGGTCGATACAACACGAGTTGATGCTATTCGCGCTTAGATGGTACAACTTTCCACCCCTAGTTAGAGATATGATCGCGTCGTATTACTCAAAATTAAGGTTTTCTATAATAACTAAAGAAGGCCCTTCAAAAAGTTTGAGTTATAATGTAGGACTGTTTCAAGGTTGTTGTCTATCTCCAATTACGTTTAATATCGTTATTAACATCTTAGTAGACAAATTAATCTGTAACGAGAAAAAATGGGGTTATCGGTTTAAGTTTAATAATAAATACACGGAATCCATTTTAGCCTTCGCTGACGATCTCGCAATACTGACACGTCACCCCAAACACTGTCAAGTACTATTGGATGAAGTGGATAAATTCTGTGAGTGGACGGATGGATTGAGGACAAAACCAAGTAAATGTCACTGTTTGTGTCTTGCTAGGCGGAATACAAGATACACCTCATACGATCCGGGACTATCGATAGGCGGTCAATGCGTTTCTACGGTTACGGAAGATGCACCATTCAAGTTTCTCGGTCGTAAGATTGATAATATAGGTCGTACTCCATCTTTAGAAGGAATAGTAGATAGCTTTTTAAATGATCTTAACAAGGTAGATAGCCAGCAGATCAGTAACGTAAAAAAAGCATGGATCTACGATAATTACTTAACTTCACGTTTGAATTGGCCTTTCCTCGTCTATGATTTTAGTAAAACCCTTTTATCTAAATTAGATGCAGGCGTCATAAAGATGTTGAAGTTGTGGCTCGGGCTCGCGCTAACGGCTGATTCATCGGCTTTATTCAGGGATCGTAATAGTTTTGGGATGAATCTAAAAAGACCATCGGAGCTCTACAAACACCTAAGAGTTTCCAAGAGACATATCCTGGGAAAATCCCATGATGACGTCGTTACATCACTCCCAAAAGACAATGATGCCCCAGAGCTAGAGTCACGACTTCAATTCCATAAACAATTTATGATCGGAGCGCAAAATAACAGAGTAGGGTTAGGATCAAGTAGGAAAGTCCAAGATACGGATATATTGAAGTCTTTTATTCGGCAAGACGAGAACGATAAATACAAGATCCATGCAATGAGTTTAGAAATGCAGAACGAGTGGTTAGACATAGGAGATTTTTGCATTCCACTAGCACTAAAATGGCGCACCCTAATTCATGACTGGTCGCCAGCCTTGCTAAAATTTTATCTCAATGCGTTCCAGATGACTCTCCCAGATCAGAGTAATTTAGTAAGATGGGGTAAAGGTACCGAAAAAACTTGCTATATCTGCGGAAAGGCAGTTGGAACTGCCAAGCATTTGCTGGTGGGATGTAGGGTTCTCCTGGACAGCGGTCAATACTCGCGTCGTCACGATAGGGTTTTAGAGATCATACGTGAAGCGGTTAGTCTTTCGGTAGCCAGAGCGCAAAGGGAAATAACCACAAACGAGCGATCAATAGGTTTTGTGAGAGAGGGCACCAGGGCTATAAAATCAAACGTCAAGCCTTACTCTATCCTTAAAGCGGCTTCGGATTGGACTATCATGATGGATACGTATGAGAAACAATACAAAATCCCCGAGGATATTTGTGCGTCGGCCTCCAGACCAGACATATTTATATATTCGCGTATTTTAAAGCGCGTTGTGATGATAGAGCTTACGGTGCCTTGGGAAACCAACATCCCCAAAGACCATGCCATCAAGGTCAATAAGTATTACGAGCTCACTAACGAACTAACTCGAAATAGGTTCGTCGTTGATTTGTACGCGGTAGAGGTAGGAGCGAGAGGTATAACAGCTAAATCTCTCTATAACCTACTAAAAGACTTGGGCCTGTCCAGAACTAACATTAATTCATTCTTAGAACGTACGTCGAAGGCAGCCCTAGTAAGTTCTTTTCAAATTTGGTTAGGTAGGGAGAGGAACTTGGACAGTGGAGGTGAGCGTATAACGCGCGTTAGTTAAGGGGCCCCTTAAACCTACACCTGGGTCGCAAGTCCCAGGCACTGTTGAAGCTCCTCTCCCTGCAACGCAATGGACCCGGCACCCGCACGGTGAATCCATTGAATGCTAAGAGGTTTCGTCTCATATACGGTTTATGTATGATATAAATGGATTACGTGATTTGTAAATCATAAACTTTATATATGAATTTATTACAACAGGCTAAATTCACTGACTATTCATAATTATTTTGGTATATTATAAAAATTATAAGTTGTGCTAGCTTAGTGGTTAAAGACCGGCCTCTCGTGTATGAGAGCGCAGGTTTGAAACCTGGCAAGTACCAATGTGTTTCCGAATCATATGTACTTTCTAAGAGTATTTAGACACCACTGACAGATGAAGGAAAATATTCTGAGAAAACGTGGACTTATAATATCACAATTATAAGTTTGAAATCACCAACCCGTCTTGAGTAAGCGTGGTGATTAATGTTCAAATCTTCTCCATGTGAGAAGAAGCCTTTGCTCAGCAGTGGGCTCTGATAGGCTGATGATGATATAACACGATATACTCATAGACTATTCATAATTATTTTGGTATATAATAAAGATTATTAATATAACGACAGGCAAACATTACACAAGCGTGTTAATCATTGCCTGGTAATAATATAGTGTTTGGAGGACAAATTTTAATATCATTCACAAACTATGAAATAAAATTATGGATGACATTTATTATGAATACAAAAGCTTAAATTCTCAGTTAACAAAACAGTTTTAACTCGACAATAGACTTATTATAAACAATTGAAATATAATTGTAAAACAGCTAGAATTATTACGGGAAACGTATAAAAATATGTTAACAAAACTTATTTGTACCAAATTGTTATTTAATAATTAAATCAATGAAAATTCTGGTTTAAAATCCAGAAATTATCTCATTACAATGGCTATTTATCAGTGTAAGTACGGTCAGAAAGATAATACATAGTTACAAAATAAATGTTATTTTACTCTAAATACCATGAAAATACTTATTGTATAATATTATATGTTATATACTAGTTCTTGCCTGCAACTCTCTTCGCGATATTCAGAATTAGGTTCAGAGAGAAAATTATAAAGTCTGTTAAACAATAGATATGATAATACACCCGCAGCGATGTATACAGCTTGTGGCATGTGACTTCATTCATATAAAAGCTGGTAAGCCTTGACCCTATCGTGACTATGCTGTATTTTGGGATAATTATGACCTATATTAATTATGAAATTCTTATGTTTGAGCTACAATACTATGAGAAATCATAATTTTTTTGTAATTAGTTTTAGTTTCAGTAGAACAAACGTCCTTGCAACCTCACAAATTTTTGTATTTTTAACACTAGTAAAGAAATAGGATTACAGACAGACACGCCAATTTTATCCATAATTTAAATGAAACTAATATTTTTCGGATATAATACGATTGCTTTACCGTGATCACGGTTGCTGAAAAGTAGCCGAAACATCGGTAGTAAGTAGTTTAAAAAAAATAAAGCACGCGTATGTAGTATATCCGAGAAATATTAGTTTCATTTAAATGAATAAAACTCTCGAAAGACTTAGATCTCATTTATCTATAAAGTTAATATATTTCGACAATTTTTCTATAAAAAAGAACTTTCCAGAATCGCAACCATTTATCGGGGACGAATTCCTTTACATGGGAACATTTCAAACGGGTTTCAGAACATTTGGGTCAGTGAATCAAGTTCAAAGTTAATATAATCGTTAAATATTTAGTAATTTAAACAAAGACATTCAAATATTTATTTAGATTGAATTAGTTTTGCTGGATGTAACTTTAAATATAAAATAACGTTTATTATGTTCACTGAATTGTAAGATCTTTATAGAAATACTTCAAATTTTGTGATAAAATACCAAAGATTATTAACCAGAATAGTCTACTGTTTATACAGAACTAGCTTTCCGCCCGCAGCTTCATAAGCACAAAGATAAGTTGCATTTTTTAACAATGAATTGAGATAATAACATCCAAACAAAAGTTTCAATAAGGGAAGTCCATATCAATTTATATTATTAAAAATTATAAAAGTATTATTTTCAATGAAAAATTTTCATTATATTCAATGAAAATTTCTGAGAAATCAGTTCAGCTAGTCTTATTTTTGTAATAATTAATAATAATTTTAACAATACGACTTTGTTTTTCAGTTACAAAAAACCTATAAGAATATGAAATAATTACAATTACTCTATAAAATATTATATTTAAAATTTAACTTTGAATATAGTTATAGTCATAAATTCTGTTTATTTTACTTTCATTGCAAAAATTAATATAATTCGTAACACTAATTATTTCATAATAATACATCAGTGTAATCGTTTAAACTCTGTTGTAATTAAGAGTCAAGTAAAATTCTTTAACAGGAAATTAATTTTCACACGATTAGTCACAAAAGCAATAAGTCCACAACAGCTATTTACTTTTTTCTTCAGTTTTTTTTTGTTTCAAAATTAAGCGTGACGACGATAAACGAGTTAAATAAACCCGACCAACGAAACGGCGGAAAACTCAACATCATTTTCTTTTCCCTTTTTCCAAGAATAAAGTTGTTGTTATTGTTTTCTTGAGAAATAATCTCCGCCAGCGCGTGCTTCTTTTCAAAATTGCTCCGCTTTTCCAATACGGTAAACAGTTGAGAAATATTTTATTAAATTTAATATTCTATTAGCTATTCAATACTTTTTTACAAATATTAAGTTTTTTATTAAAAGTTTTAAGTTATTGTCATAAATTATGTATACGTGTGAAACCACGGTAAGCAGTTAGTTAAATGGATTTGTTACATTTGTTAAGCGTATTAAGACGTTACATATATATTATATAATTGATAAACTGTTTGTTCAGAGGAAAGTTAAAAACATTTGCCACAAGAACATTTACTTTGACGTCGTTATTGATGATCGCTTTGGTTACGGTTCATTAAATGAAGTGAAGCCTGTTAACCGCTCCGTGAAAGCCTCCGGCCTCGGGGACACGGCATTATACTTTAGAACCTCAAGCCAGCCATATGAATCAATGTGCCAGAAGTACAATGTCATTGGCGTCAATATTAAAACTCATGAAACTAATTAATATGACACGAACATTGTTGGCAAGTAAACATAGATTACTAATTTATTATAATTATTATTATATCATCATCCTATCAGAGCCCACTGCTGAGCAAAGGCCTCTTCTCACATGGAGAAGATTTGAGCATTAATAACCACGCTTGTTCAAGACGGGTTGGTGGTTTCCTCACGATGTTTTCCTTCACCGTCACTTCACCGTCTGTCAATGGTGTCTAAATACTCTTATAAAGTACATATGACTTGGAAAATTACATTGGTACTTGCCAGGTTTCGAACCCGCGTCCTCATGCATTAGAGGCGGGCCTATAACCACTAGGACACCACGACTACTTATACACGTATTTATATACAGTAAAGTTAACTTGTAGATATAACTGAAGGTTAAATTTTGATTAATATTTCTCATTACATTAAAAGACATATAAAGAAAACAATAAAGTTTTCTGATTATTGAACGAATTTCCTTATTTTTCTATACAAAGGCTTCATTTAATTATAATTTTTCTGTCAATGAATCTGGTTTCATAATGTTGTATTGAAATCTGTTATCAAGATTAAAATACTGACATTTCCGATGTCTTATAAAGGCTGTCGTTATTGTTAATAACTTGAAATAATTTGGTTTAAATCGAAAGAAAATTAAAATTCTGATTTCTTTACACATTGATATAACTTTACTTATAGTTTTGTCAGAATATATAAAACGGTTACTAAAAAATAGTCTTCTTCTTCTACCTGGCAATTTCCCAGCTTTATCCAGGGTCTGCCTTACATGTTGTGAATAGTTTTAGACTATTGTTTTTACGACCGGCCGCCTGCGTGACTTCAACCCTTTTTAGGAATACATAAATCAGTGACGTCTAAATACTCTTAGAAAATACATATGACTCGGAGAAATCACATTGGTACTTGCCAGGATCGAACCCGCGCCCTCATGCATGAGGCGGGCCTTTTAACCACTAGGCCACCACTGACTTGAGTAATTAAAAAACAGTAGTTTCACAATATTTTCCATATTTAAATATTTTATTAATTAATATTCTGTTTTATTATAGTTCATTCCATGTCACAGTATTAAACACGTAATATAAATGTTCAACAGGTCGTTGAGTTTGGAAATCGCGATGTCAGTTTACGACGCAATCTTGTGTAAATTTTCCATTACATCCACAGAGCCTCCTCTAATATATTTAATAAACAACTCCACGAATATTTAGTTTAGTTTAACTTAAAATATGAATGATTATAGTACTTTACTCGAAAAGAAACACATTAAGATTGAAGAAATGAAAAAACAGTTCAACAACACATGAAGATGTTGTTCAAATTGTTGTTAACATCAGAAGATTGTTGTTGTAAAAAAACTGTTGTTGACAACAGAAGTTCATCAGATGGTGTCCCAACTGTTGTTAACCAGGAATCTAGTAAGGTTTATTGGACTGGATTGAATGACAGACCTCAATGTCATCGCTCTAAGAAAGAGATTTTATCGATCTTTTAACATACAGATACTGCCACAATTACAGCTCATACTTCAATATATAATCAATTTTAACTTGTTATTATAATAATGTTTTTATATTTACATATTTAGAACATCCTTTAACTACGCGATATATTTAAATCCCAATGATTTTGTTAATACAATATTTATTAATAGTTGTATATTATCTATTACTTATATATGTATTTCGTTCCTGGTGGACGTGAACAATGTATGAAGGTAACAAATGTCCTAAATAAACCGATAACATGTGACCATTTGTTCAGCTATCAACGCTGGTGTGGCTTATAGACTTAGTGGAATAAACTAGTTGGGGCTTTGATTCGCTTGGTTAGCATGGACGAAAGAAAATACATCTTTTATACATACTACAATATATATAAGGGAAAATAAAGATTATATAGAAAGGCGTAGAAATGTTATTAAGTTTTTATATATATGTATATGTAAATGTATAAATTTCAATCATTTAATATTTACAATTTTGAATAGGATGAAAAAAAGCTAAGTTATGTTATTTTTTTTGTAACGAATTAAATAATTTAAAAATCTCTGTATGAAAAAGAGGTATTATGTGGACCTTTATGTAATATACAATCAGTATATTTGATACTTTGTATAATTTATTTTAGACTCTGTTAGCTGTAGATCTAAGAAAGTTTCATATTTCTCAAATGGCTGACTCAGGGTAAACTGGATTTCCGATAATCGAATGAGGTTCTAAGACTGTTCTGAATTAAACATGCTCTCTGATATAACAAATATAAGTAAAAAATTATTTACATTTTGATATGATTTCTAGTCACGATATTAAAAGGATAAGATGTTTGAAAGAAGATATAAATTTTTGGAAAGAAATATTAGGGTATATGTAATATATATTTTTCAGGTACA